TATACCAATTTAAAGCACCAACAGGCTTCATGCCATAGCTCTCTCGAATCTGGTGTTGTTTTCCCCAAGAAGTGGCATTCAGGGGAAAGGAAAGGGTGTTTTTGTTCCAGTGGCTTGCACCTTATACTAAGACAAAAATAGGCATCTCAACTTCTGAGTGAGGTGATAGCTGTCAAGTAGTTTTAATAATCTACTGGCTCGTCTTTTCCACTCTTGACTGATAAGATACTGATTAAAGATGATTTGTAGTCTTCTCTTTATCACTAGGCTACTATTTACATTTAGTTATGTTCAAAATATTCTACATTTACCAGGCAAGTGCCTGTCAGTTTGGACATTCAGTTAATACAGTGAGTAGGGAGTGATGTCAACCCTTTTATGTACTGTTTAATCATTTTTGCTATAGGAAGAAACTCTAAGTGAAGTACAGAGAATTGAAGGAGAGGCAGCAACGTTTTTGGACCAGATATCAAGGTACTCACTTACTCAATTCAAACAATTAATTAAAGGGTTAATATTTGAAGAAACATTCATTTCAACAACATTACATAATAAATGGCTAGAACTGACTAAATAGTTTTATAAGTAACACCTTGAAATGACAAACACTTTTCACTTTGTTCGGAAGGTGACTTACCCTCAGTTTGAGGGAACCCCAGTCACCAACAATAATATTTTTCAGACGTTCCTCGTCCGTCTGATCATAACAAACAAGAAGATCTGTTGGATCTTGTAACCGTGCTTTTAAAATTTAACTGTTTTCTTAGCACTACAGTCGCAACGCAGTGCACATTCCAAAGCACTCCTTGATGATTCATTGATTACTGTAGACACCACATTACTTGATCAACACAAACTGTATTATTGCACCATCAGTCGTAGCCGTTGTGCAATCTCCAATGACGTAATAGTCTTAATCTGAAACATTCTTTGGGATATGTATGGGCATGAAGATACGAACACTATAAACAACGGCTTTCTTTCTTAAAAGTCACGATTACATTTAATTGTTTTTTCCCTTGAGTAAAGGGCTAGCAAAGAATTCACATGAGTCACATAATTAAGAATTGTGTTATCCATGGCTATCTTTAGTACAGTGGTTATTTCCCTACCAATGACGTAATCCTTGCATGTTCTGACAAGTTCTTTGCTTGGCTTGCAAATATTTCATTTTCCTT